TGCAATATCTCCCTTTCGGTTTGTTATTTTCTACCTTCTGGCAATCTCTGACCAATTAACCTTCATACCATCTTCGTACCTGTCTACTTCAGAGTTTAGACTATTCTTGTCCCATGTCATAGCATCAAAAGTGCTAGCATGACGTTTTCTTTTGACAGCTGAATCTTCTTCATGTTCTGAACTGGTGTCCTTTCTTTAATTGCAGCTTGTCTAGTCTCAAAGGAAGTATCAAGCCGATCCCGTTGCCTTGCAGCATATGATTGCCACTCCCTAAGACATATGAAAATTTTTGCAAATTAAAGGCATTTTTTGGACATTTATAATCTTCTTAGCTTAATAAATATTTAATAGAGCAGTTTTGTGCTGCATGAAGTTTTCGTCTTTTTTATCCCATTTTTTATAAGTTGTTGAATTGTTGGTAACTACAGTTAATAGCAGATTTTTCGGGTGATGATGCTCTGACTAAATTAGATTGTTATTTGATGTAAATTGCCTACTTGACAGATATATTCCCTACAAACTGACAGTCAGTAACCCTGTTCCAAAAATAGTTACCTCAAAAGGGAAGTTTTCTCCCATTCGTCTTCAAGTCTTTGTTTATATCTTCTATATGTGGCTCTCTTTTCTCTCTTGGCTTCAGCTGGGGATTGTCTTTTTTGTAGCTTGGAGCTCTGGGAGGTTAGTCAAGGCCTCGCCAAAAGATATACTGCATACGTTTTAAAAGGTGACATCAATTTTATTGTACAAAGATCTTGCAATAGTTTTAACTTCCCCTGCCTTGCATGGCTTGATCTTCAATTCTTTTCCAGTGGTGAAAAATGGATTCTGTTTTGCTATTCCCTAAAACTAATTTGACCTGACTGGAAGTAAAGCTTGAATTTCGGCATAGCGATGACAGCATCCTTTGCAGTTTGCAAAAGAATCAGGGTTTTTGTTAAGATTTTTAGTAAAGGGACCTTTTGCAAAGTAAGAGGGACCAAAATGGCGGTTCTGCCGCCATTTCTTGTCACATACACATACCAAACCACGTACACATACCAAAATGTCACGTACACATACCAAAATGCTTAAGAAATAAATGACAACTTTGGCTTTTTCACAATTTTAATATTTATTTTCAAAGTTGTAAAGTTCACATGGTATAAATCTATAATACTCCTATATAAAACACATACCTTTCAGCTTCAATAATCCATAATGTATCTTTCTGCAGTCAGGATGCTCTTCATATGTCAAGAACTGGTGTTTTCTTGTTTTAAATCCACAAGTAAAAAAAATTTCCTTGATAGTTTATTTCTTCTTTAAAAATCATTTTTTGGCTCAGAAATGCATTCATTTATGGTATGAGTAACCTAAGACAACTCAGAGCAATGAATTATCTATACTTGATACTTTATAGCTAATCAGAGAAATAGTCTGATTCATAGTCAGAATCTTCCATGTTGTGGCTTTTCTCATCGCATTCAAGCTGGAGAGCAGCAACATACGCGTCGACATTTGGCTCACTCTTGATGCTTTGTGAATCATCAACTTCCATGTAGTCCTGCCAAACCCCCAGCACCGCTTTGTCTGTGGACACCTACCGTGTTCTGCAAGCCTGTTGAAGTTTGTGACCAATTTTGTGTCGTTTAGACTCGTCAGCGGGAAGCTGCATGTCTCAAAGTCTTAATTGCATCTTAAGATACCCTGCCGTCTTCACACAGGAGTTTTCGAGCCACTTGTACAGCTGAACCAGTAGGCGTTCTATGGTTAGCATGTACTTCACCTCGTTGTTGGAGTCCCCACAAGCTAATGCCAGTCTGTGGCAGATACAGTGAACGTTGACCAGTCTTGGGTTCTCCGTTTTGAGCAGTGCTGCTACGCCATCATTCTTGCCAACCATTACTGAAGCTCCGTCAGACGCCAAACTCAGGAATTTTTGAACGTCAAGGTCATCCTTAGCCAGTTCTTCTTTAATGTTGTCAGTGATGGTTTTGGCGTTCGGTGACGCAGCATCCTCCATAAGATCTTTGACAGCTAAAAAGCGGATTTGCACATTTGCATTTTCCACATACTGGATGAAAATGATGTTTTGTTCTTTCACTTGAATGTCAGTAACATTGTCCACCATGAGGCCATAAAACTTCGCTTCGTTAGCAGCTTTTGTGATCTTTTCCTTTATTACCCTGCACATCGTCGTGAGGATTCCTCTTACTGACCACAATGATTCATGTTGGAAATGCTCCAGCTTTTCCAGTCCTATCGTCCGCATCATCTTCAACATGGAGGGGAAGTTTTGGTAAGCAATGCCATGCTGAACCTGCCAGTACAATGACATGAAAGCGCTATACAGAATTTCATGCCTGTGGAGGTTACGCTCGTCAAGTTTTTCTTGAAAAATCGAGGTCCTCTTTAACATTGCTGCAATGGAATCTTGATGTTTCTGTCCACTGCAGTGCTCCACAAGTGCTGAGGTCTGGAAACGTACAGCGGGTTCCATTCCACATGATGCACTCTTATTGTGCTTGCCCTTTGCCTGGTGAAGTCTGCAGAGTAGACAGTACATACCCTTCTCTTAAATGAAGTAACCACCACAGCCCTGTTATTGCATCGTAAGTTAAATCGCGTCGAAAGATCCATGCATGGTCAAATTTTTTCTTTCCTTTCTCCTTCTGGTAGTTGCACGTAGTTTCAGTGCAGTGGTAAAAACTGCACAACTTCGTCCGCTGAGAATAGATCATTGATCATATCGTGCGTAGCATTGATATCGGGCACACTAGGCTTCGTTGAAGTTGACCGGCTCGGTTGATGTGCTGGCCGCTGAATCTTCCGTAAGCATTTGTTGAGGAGAAACACTCTGACTAGGCTTAGGATTGGATGATTGACTGCTAGGTTCTTCAATAGCTGTAGCCGAGAGTACATTAACCACAGGTGTTTCTCCGTGTGTTTCGCCTCCTGGAACAGACGTTTTTTTTGGCATCGGCCTGCAATTTAATTTATATTTAAAGAGGTAAGGATATGTTCCATTTTGTGGAATAAGAAAGGAAAGACAGAAAATACATTTACAGTTTCTACACCCGTTAAAAAAAAAACAAACAAACAAAAACAAAGAGGAACAAGCGGGTTTCGGCTTTGCAGCACGAAGTCTCGCTTGTCTCGCGTGCCTAATTTTGTTGTTTCCGCATTCTTGCCATAAATAATCGAATACCAATTTTTTTCCGGAAAAAGTTGCAACCCTTCCTTATCATATAACGTACAGCAACATTTACTTTTTTTTTTTCGTTCAACATTCAAACTTTTCATCGCTACGTTCTGGTTTATAATTCTCTGATGCAATGAGTTGATTCACGCTTTGTTTCAATTTAATTGAATTAGTGCGGGTGGGTTTTAAAACTAAAAACTTTGTCTCCACGTATTTCCACTAAACGTGTATGAATTATTTAGTATCATGTTATATCATAATATAAGCTCTAATTTTATGCCGCAGATTTCGTATGAAATGAATATTTTTTGCCGACCTCTTGCTAGCTTGTGAAAGTAGAAACTAACGTAAACAAGTTGGATTCGCTTCACCGCACACGTTTTCTAAATTTTACACACGTGAATATATTAAAATGGCGTTGAATGAAAAACAACTGGAGAACATGCCATGCCCATCTTAACTTGTTAGACCAAGAAAGGTAAAAGCTTAAAGGCAAATTAAAAAACCTTGCGGGTAATTTAAAGCAACGTCAGATTAAATATAGCAACGCAATGTTATCGATATTATGATCTCGCTGAAGCGGCGCGACAGGTACTGTACATACCAACTAATTACATTTTAACTACAAAGAAAAAAGCTTACCTCTGAGTGAAGTACTGATTAATTTTCCGCTTCATTTGGTACTGTGCAAGGCCGCCAAAGTAGATATGTCACGTAACGTTGTCACAAAGATGAGAATTGCTGTTTGACTGTTTTCTCTCGAGAGCAAATGCTAGACTGAACTGTAGCGATGGAACAAGCTGAATTTATTGCCGTTGTCTGTCGCAACACCATGAGAAACCGCGACGGAAATACGCATTTTTTTTTCTCGCGAGGCTTCCAGGTTTTGTAACACTATTTATTTTTGACACATTTACTCACGAATGGAGGTTATTCGATGCCCCGATTACGAACTTTGGGAGTGCCCATAAATGCGTTTGTTTTGTTTCATAACGTCTCAAGTCACGAACTCCAAATTAGCTGCACATGCACAAAATTTATCACAAAGAAACATACCCAAAAGCAGAGATATAATACAAAATTTTATTTATTTTACCGTAATTTACGTTCAAATTTAAAATTGCCAGCTGACCATAGTCTCCACAGGAGTTTTAATACAAACTGAGCGTGAAAATCGCCGGGGCAAAAATTGAAATAGCCGAGTAAAGGTCCCAGTGTCCCGGCCCTAACAAAAACCCTGAGAATGTTCACTTTTTTCCATGAATGCCATTTTCTCCCAGTTATTTATACTGAATTTGTCCAAGTACTTGTCCTTTTCAGCATCTAGACGTCGTAACTCTAGGATAAGTTTATTAATAAGATTGTCAGAGATCCTGAGAAACAGGCGTAGTGAGTCTCTGATGACATAGTTGAGAGGATTAGATGGATAAAGGGGAACTTTCTTAACATTATACCATTGATCAGCTCTTGCCCTAACCCTCGACATTTGTTCAATTTCTTGAACAGTGCGTGCACCTTTTGAAATTTCAATGAGAGACCATTCTTTTCTCTTGTCATACTATTCATATAGTGGACATTTGCACCAAATGCATGGGTGGATGGCTTTTGCTGCATCAAGGCCGCAAACTCAAGCGAGGAATTTCCAGTAGCCCCCTAAAAACCACTCAATTTCAAAATTCAGTGTTCCGAGTGAAATTTGCTTTGGAGAACTCGCATCTTTACTTATATCTGCCAGGGATTGTGCTAGTTTGTCATAGTTTTCTGCTTCTCTTATTACTGCAATTAAGTGATTGCCATCAGCAGACATTGCTTTTCTTTCTTCGTCCAGCATAGTAAAGGTTACATTGATAACATGTAACCTTTTCCCGATGTTCGCGCTATTCCCAGATAGTTTTACTCTAATTTACGATCAAGTTTAAAGGCTGCATCCGAGGGAGTGTTTTTAATTAAAGTCTGTAATCTGATTTCCAACCTCTCCTTCATTCTCTGTTGGACTGTATTTGTGTTACTAGGTGTTGGATATAAGTTCCATTTCCTATTCATTTCCTTGACCCTATCTTGAATTTTCCAAGATCTGGTCAGATGCTTGCCAATCATTGTAAGTTCATGATATGCTTCATTTGAAATATTAAATCTTTCTTTTGTGTCAAGCAGCAAATTTATTTCATCAATATCCTCATCAGTCAGTTCTTCAGTAGGAGATGAGGTTTGAATGTTCTCCTCATCAACCAAGGTTAGGGTCTCATATTTGTGAGTGTTCTCATTCAATATTTCAAGTTTAGTGGCCACAAAATTATGAAGCCCAAGAAATGACAGTGATGTTTCACAGTCTTTGGCCATTTGTTTTCGAACTCTGGATTGATGCCTTTCGCGTTAATCTGAAAATGTTTTCCCTTTGGTAGGGCCTCTTGATTTCTGTTTCCTTTGAAGTTTCATTTATTTTTCGAATTAGTCTCTTAAATTTCTTTTAGAATTTTCCAGTAATTTCCTTATTGCGAGCCTTTTCTTCCTTTAATTTCTTCTCAAGCTTGCTTTTCTTGCACCTCTCCTATTTATAATCATCTTCAAGCTTTCTTTTCTGTCCCTTCAATTCAATGTTTTCATTTTGTACTCTTACATTGTCCATTTCATTGTAATAAATCTTAAAACTCCAGGTTGAATATTTACTGTTTGTCCACTGGGAAAAGAGCTTTTTTAACGCGCTACCCTCTTTGGTTTTGGCTTTCGCTGGTGCTTGATTTAGTCTCTAGATCTTTGTTTTGAATTCCGGTACAAATCTATAATTTACTATTACACTAGGAACATTGCATTCTTGGCACACTTTCCCTATCAGAATCTTTAAAACAGATTTCATGGTCATTCTCGCTTTCTGAACAATAGTTAACTGACTGACGCGGGACCTTTCAAATTCACACATTTTTATTATTTAACAGCTAGAAATTGACATCAGTGGCTGACGACCTCTAGCTTCTGAAAGTCCAACAACAACAACCACAACGACAACCGCAACTACGACCGCAACAACAACAACAACAACAACAACAACAACAACAATAGCGAAGAAAACGGATCTTAGAGTTCTTGTTCTGTTTTCCTTTTCCTTTTGCTTTTCTGGCCTTCAGGTCAGGATCCCTGGTCCCCGCTGATGACTGCCTTGTGTATCTTTGGTACGGTGGTCAGCATGGCGTAGGAACTCCCTTTGGCAGCAGCCACCTTCACAGCAACTAACGACTCTCAACTCCGCCCAGTGATCACCGTCCAAGTCTTGGGCATACCTGCATCAAGAGTCTCCGATATCGAAACGCGCGCAATGCATTCTGGGATCGTCTCATATAAAAAGTGGGCACCAAGCGTGACAGCGGCCATCTTGATAACTAAAGCATCGTCAACATTTATACACTTTTACCTCGCGATTTTACAATTTTTTCCAGTTTAAATTAGATCATAGTTTGTATATAGTTTTAATAATAGTTGTATATAGTTTTCACTAGTTTGTATATAGTTTTCATATAGTTTTCTCGTCGTTTTTGGCGTGGAAATGAGCGAGACAAGTGAGCTTTCCCTCGAGGAAGTCAACACATGGAAGGTGGACGCTCTCAAGTTATTTTGCCGTAAACGAAATCTTAAAACTTCTGGAGCTAAAGCTGAACTTGTAGCCCGTGTGTTTGCAGCATCAGAGATGGGAATCCAAGTACAAGCATCGGCTAAAGAACTAATGTGAATCACGGAGTCTGAGAGAGCGAAGCTATTGTTTACTCCTGAGGGCAGCAAGCTTCCCGATCCTCTTGGGCTAAAGGACGGATGGATTGATGAAAAAGATGGGCTAACATCATGGCCTCCTATATTTCTAAGTGACATTACGAAATATCTGATGGCTGATCATCCTGGAAAGGATATTAAACTGCACGAACGGGTCATGAATGAGTACAAAGAGGGGAAAGCATACCGCTTATTTGACTCGGGCTTTCTGAAAGAAGTTTTCTACCATGAACTAGAAAATATGGATTTTTGCTTCTTGAAAGCAAAATGTACGCATTCGATGAAGGTTGGTGATACACCACATACATCATGGATTTGTTCAAGAAAAAATGGAGAGATTATCAGTGCCTACTGTACCTGTACTGCTGGGTATGTTAGACTTTCTGTTTTATAAGACTTTAACTTGTAACTGATGCAAAATATAAGCCTAAAATATCATGTTTATCATATACCTCGATTTTATGACTAATGTTGTTGGTCTAAGCTCAATATATATTATACTTTAGAATGTTTAAAATATTATGTTTATCATATACCCTAACTATTTGTTATTTCTTGTTTCAGTATGAGTGGTTCTTGTATTCATGTGATGGCACTGCTGTTCAGAATTGAAGCAGCAAACCGTAATGGTATGACAAATCCTGCATGTACGTCCAAAGAGTGTGTGTGGAATGTTCCAATAGGAAACAAGACTGTAATCAAGCCCTCTAGAATTTGTGATATGGAGTGGAAGGCTTCAAAGCTAAATAAAGGTATGTTATTATGTTTAAAATTCTAAACAAAGTATTTACAGTATGTATACTGGATAGACATAAGTGTTATCTGGGGACATAAATAAGAAAGTTCTTATTAGCTTGTAACCTAGCAATTAATTTACTTTTATTTTGTGTTTTTCTAGAGACGACCAGACCTGCCATCGATAGTCGCCGAAAGTTATTCAATTCACATGAAGAGTTGAAGCCCCTGACTCCAAAAGGAAAGAGGAAGTCGTTTTATAATAATTTGAAGGACTTGTTGCCAGAATCGGCATTCATCAAATTAGCAACGGCTGAGTTTGAGGAACCGTGTTCCACTTCCGTTACAATAGAAATTAATACTGAAGTACCTGAATGTGTAATGCCTAAGTCATCAAAGAAAGACTTAAGTGCTGATGATATACATCTGATTGAACAAGGCACCATTGGTCAGTCTGAGAATGAGGCATGGCACGATTACAGAAAAGGCCGATTAACTGCCTCTAATTTCTATAGAGTGTACACAAAAGTTGAAACCCTTAAAACTAAGGGGGGTGATGCACAGGAACTAGTGGACACAATCCAGGGTAAAAGTAATGGACCGTCGGAACATTTACCTGCTCTAAAATATGGAAGAAACATGGAGAAAGTTGCTAAGGATAAGTATGTGAAACTGTTTCAGAGGGAGCACAAAGATGCAAAATTCAGAGAGTGTGGACTATTTATTGATGAATCTGACCAATTCATTGGAGCATCCCCTGATCTGCTTGTTGAATGTTCCTGTTGTGGATTAGGGGTGCTAGAAGTGAAGTGCCCTTATTCTATTGTTAATGATTTACCATCAGAAGACAATCTTTCCTACCTGGTAAAGATTAATGGCAAAATTGTCTTGAAAGAGAAGCATGCATATTTTGCACAGATACAGGGACAAATGGCTGTGACAAAGAGAACATGGTGTCACTTCCTGGTCTACACCCAAAAGGGTTATCATCTGGAGCTAATCAAGTTCAATAATGATTACTGGGAAAAGATAAAGCAAAACCTAATTTGGTTTTATAATAAGTATTTAAGTGAATGAATGCTCGTTAATTATAACTTGATACAAAACTTTATTTACATGGTGTAAACACTAAAAATACATTTGTACATTTTATATACAATTTAGAATTTTTACAATTTCATATCTGGAAAAACTGGTCTGACAGTTCTAAATTGAACTCAAATAGTCTCTGAATAGAACAGTAAAATTGTCTGTTGTGGAAACTGGAATGGATGAATCAAATCATGAAATTTTATACAAGTAATGCATTGACCACACTTCAGTATGATTGAAAATGTTACAGTTTGATATTGTTTGCAGTTATATATATAGTAATAATAAATAATATATTATTTATTTGTGTTCAGCGACACATGAGCTGTGAAATGAAGAAAAATATTTACAAATTATATCTAATGATTGTAATCACTCTACCAGAATAATTTTTCTCTTGTGAGGTCCTTGTGGTGCAAATAATATAACAGTTCTTATTCAGAGTGCACATACTTAATAGCTGAAGCATTAAATGGTACTAAATCATACTATTACTTAATTTTCTTGTTATGTACCATTATCAACACTATTTAGTATTATTTGGTACCATTTGTATGAAAGATTAAGTGATTGCACTCTATACTAGTTGCTAGTAAAGTAGAGCAGAGATTTTGAATAACATTTAACCTAAGAAAGAACTTAGACTAATACATATTGGTATCCTCTAAATTTATGAAGTTTATATTCTTTCATGGGTTAAATGCTGTCAATCTTTTTAGCTATTTGTACATTTCTTGTTAATCATTTTTTACCCAAGGGTCTATACAAGTTACATAAGGCTGCACAAATAAGTACAATGTTGTCTATACTGCCAAGCAGTGATATTGGTAGTTCATGCTTTATCAGTCTAAACGTCTTCAACCGTCTTATTGCTTGCTCAACAAAGATTCTAAGATTTGCAATTTCTTTTGTTTTAGCAACTTCAGCTTTAGTGAACTGCTCTTGTCCACGTTTACCAGGGGGGATGTGTAGTCTTGAGCTTCTGATTAAGAGGTCTTCAGCAATTGTGAATCCACGGTCTGCCATCACTTCATCGCCAGGTTCAATGATATCATAAAATGATGATTCTCTTGTCAGATGCACATCTGAAGTTCTCCCTCCCCATGCTTTGGATAAGAAATTGAAAAAACCATGTGGTGTTATTGATACCAACAGCTTAGCAGTGTTGTGATGCTTGTAGTCTGACCACGTAGCTGCTCTAAGGTTTGGGTCGCTTGGGGTTTCAATAAATATTTCTGTGCAATCAATGATGTGGCGTACATTAGAGTAGCCTGGCTTTTTAAACTTTGCGGGCAAAGTTGCTTTCACAACATCGATGGAGGGATTGTAAACCAAACATTTAAGTTCACTTGCTAGGATTTTCACCCAGGTAGTAACAACATTTGTTACATTTGTAGTTGAAATTCCAAACCTCTGTGCTAAGTCAGCATTTGTTGATCCAAGTCGAAGTTTCATTAAGGTCAAAAGAAACTCATCTTTTTCTGACAAAGCTCTTTTAGGGCCAAACTTATTTGGTGTTTTTTTGAAGTTTCTTCCTTTTTTAGTAGATTTTTTTGGGCCACTCCAGTAGTTTACTTTTTTAATGTTTCCCTTCACTACTTCAAACAACTTATTGAATACTCGTTTTGATGGTAGGCCGGTTAGTAGACGAACAGATGAATTTGTTTTCAAATCAGAATGTTCTAGTCCCTTACGCTGTCTGGCCTTGAGTTTTATCTTACATGCTTTGAGTTCACTTTCAAGTTCTTGGAGTTTTTCTTTGAGATCTTTGATCTCATTGAACTGCTTGAGTCTTTCCTGCAAGCATTTTTCTTTCATACAGAAGTCAGGATCTTCTAGGTTGTACCAGCCAAACGAATATGCATGATCGTGAGTGATATGGTCGGGTCGACCGGCAGTAGTACAATGTTCTTCTTCTGTTATAAACGAGGAACTACTTGGTTCTTGAATCACAGGAGCATCTTGACTATCATGTGCATTATCTTGAGTATCATCTTGAATATTATCTTGTGTGTTATCTTGAGTATTATCTTGAGTTCTTAAACGTTTCATTTCTTCTAGTAATGATGATCTATCAGTAGGCGGTTTACGGTTACGAGTAGACTTTGTCTCGTAGCCCATTTTGAGTACAGGATCAGGGTTTTCTTTCGTGGGTTTCCCATCAACAAAGTGCTCATTGCAGACTCTCGACGAATTATTAGGTTGCCAGACTTCTCCTTTCGGGCCTTTTCTCTTTAGAAGATGGATCCAGCGCTTTCTACCCTCATTGTTTTTGCGTTCAGTAGGGAACGGAAATAGCTTGAACGGCAGCGGACAGTCACATGGCGGAGTGCCGTGTAAACAATCGTGAACTTCGCATTGCTGTGAAGCCCATTTCTCAAGCTTTTTCCCACTGTTATGGCACCCAAATACTGCACAATTTCTGTGCCCAAAGACCATGTCATTAAACGGCTGCAAAGTAATAAAAATACGATGAGAATCTTTGACTTTTGACAGTTCTTGTATTCGCGAATGTCACTCGCGCGCAGGATTGAATCTACTACCATTAAAAGCTTAAAAACAGCTAAAACAAAGTTAAAATTTGTAACTTACCTTTTGAATATAATACCCACGAAGATTATTTTCCAGTTGATATCACTTACAAGAACAAAAAGACTGTATTATAGATAAAGACACGCTTCAAAGAACGCATTGAATACAGAGACACACGCCATATTGTCACGCTTGGTGCCCACTTTTTTTGTGAGACTATCCCAGAATGCATTGCGCGCGAATTACCTTCCGGAACTCTTGATGCACGTATATTTGCCTCAGGAATAGCACAGAATTTAGGTAATTGTACATGTAAATTTCACACAGTGATTTTCAATTATATTTCATGTGATTCAGTCAGCCACTACACATGCACAAACTAAAAGCTAAGATGACATGATAGCAGATGACAAGAATGATGGCTGAATACATGTAGTGATTGTACTTAATCTTCCAAGAACAATGACAAATAATATTTGCAACAAGGTAGTCAACATTCAGCTCCTATCCACATATTATTAATACCCCTTAATTGTTCCATGATAATTTGTAAGCAAATAGCCTGGATCTGAATGTTTACAATGCATTTAAGAAAAACACTGGTTGCTGGCATCAAATAATTTAGTGGAATAGTCATTTGCAGTGGCAGCTCTAGGGGGCATTCAAATGGCATTCAAAAGGAGAGGAGGGAATTTGGTCTTTTGGTCTTAACAATATTTTGCAACTGTAAAGTAGTGTGTGGCTGCATTACTAGAACTGGATCTAGCTTTGTCCGTTGCAGAACAATAAAAGACATAATTTCATTGTAGACACCAGAATAGTGACATACATGCATATAAGTCAGGCTATCAGGAGGCTGGAACATTGTAAACAGTACACCTAACTTGTCCAACTTAAGTCATGGTAATACTGATCAACAAGGAATCTACTTGTCTATTTTGTGTTCAGTGGTTCCAGAACAAAGAAAAGCAAGGTATAGCATCTTAAAACTTCAAATAGTACACATTGGAAATATTATTTTAAGGAGTAGTCAATTTTAAGGTAGCCCATTTAGCTAGTCCATTGGGGTAGTCCATGGACTGGGGGTCAGTGTTTGTCCATCACCTTTGGGAATAACATGTTCGAAAGCATAGTTATTCCAAACAGCAGAAAGTTGCATAAATTTGTTTGGAATTTAGAACAAGCACCTTGACCCACAACAACACAGAATAATTTTGTAAACCACAATGAGCTTAAAGAAAAATATAAAGAAGTTGCTTATTTAGGAAATATATGGTACAGATTTTCCTGTAAGTTGCCTTAAGTAAACTTTAACTTTTAGGGCTTGCTTGATCAGGCCTTAACAAAAAAAAAATCATCTAATGTGTAGCATATGAAAAAGCAATCTTAATTTTTGTAAATTGCAAGGCTTGAGATAATCGCTTGTAACTTTGATAATTCGTGTTTGATCACCACAAAATTTGATCCAAGAGTCTCAAACATTTAAGAAATTGCTCAATGCCTTAATTCTTGTAAAACTGCACTTTAAAATGATAGAGCAACTCTCAGCCTAATACAATGTAAATACATGTACATGTACCCAAAGGCCACAATAAATTTGAAAATCGAAAATCTAAAAATTTGTTCCAAACAAAATAATATACTGATTGAAAAGCTAGTAACAAGTAATATAGCACTGTACACCTCTTTGCAGTATCTTCTTTATGAGCCATCAAGTCTGCGAGGTCACTGGTCATTTCCTTCTGGCTGCTGTGACACACTGTTACTGCACCTTTTCTGAAGAGTGTGCTGTGGATTGGTCCTGCAATTCCAGCCTTTTTCCAAACGGACTGAATAGCTTTGCTAATTTGGCCTGATTCCAATTTCTTTCCATTCCAAGATGGGAACAATGGTTGTTCTTTCTCTGCTGTAATATATGGCAGCTTTGATCTCACTTGTTTTATAAAGATACTGATCCAGTTTTGCAGATTGCTAGTAAGAATGACTTGCGCTGGGCCGTGGACATGAAATGTTTTATGTTTCATAACATTCATGATGAATCTGTCATCTTCTTTGTAACCGCGTTCAAATTCTTTCACAGTCATGTTTGACAGCACTCCTGCCCGGTTTGCATTGTCGATCGAAATTTGCACGAGAAGAAAGTCCCTCAGAAGAGTATAGTGACTTTGGGTGATCTCAATACTGTGTGCTCCACTCAATTTTCCCAGCAAAATGACAGCATCCCTGCCAGTCTGACTTCTTTCAAACTGCTGGATTTTTTCAGGTGTAACAAGTTCAACCCTGTCTTCTTCCATCTTTTCCCACTTTCTTTTCTGGCTAGATCTCTTGTAGGAAGAAGACCATCTCTTTACCTTTTCTATCATCTGAGTAACCAGCTCGGTTGTGGCATCAATTACTGGCTTTTCTGCTAAAACATAGCTGTAGAAATGACGCAGGCTCATGAAGTACGATTTGATTGTTTGAGGGACGTACTTCTGTTCCGCATACTTTACGAATTTGTCATTCAGTAGGGAGCAATCGAAAAGCGACATTACCCTTCTTTCAGCATCAATCAGAGATAAAATGTTTTTTATCTGTGACACATGTTGTTTTGCTGTTTTCTCATCTTTTTTACCTCCATCCGGCGATTGTAACCAATTGGCAAGCATGACTAACACTTCAGGGTCAGGACTCTTGCTGCTATCCACATCATCTTCAATTAAAATCACATCACATGTGGTTGAAGTCTCAGTTTGTTCAAAATCTTCCAAGTCCATTTCTTCATCTTCATCATTTCTCACAGTATCCACTACAGGTATATCAGGCATAGGTGGTTCAGTTTCAATTCTCTTGATAGCAGCAGCTCTCTTTTCAATCATCTGAACTGAATAGGGCCTTTTGGGTTGTGGAAGAGCTTTACTTAACAAGGCCTTGTACTTTGATGACTTTGGACTGAAACCATGAACAGTTTGCAAATGTGCAGGTAACCTTTTGACCACTGCAGAACACCCTACCATTGGACAACATCTCTTTTTGTGGTAATCCTTGTTGCACCTCTTTTGCCCATGCTCATCAGCATTTGTTTTCCCTTTCCTATTGCCAGCAGCTGCACTCTCTGCAGTTGAAAAGGAATATTTCTTACGTAAATTAAACCGCAATACTGCAGCACGAGCTTGATGTTTTGGCCAATCATGCACTTTTTGCAAATGCCTTGGCAGATGAACAACAATCTTATGACAGTAGGGTACTGGGCATTCTTTTTTAATCCTCGCTTTGCTTGGACGCTTTCTCTTTTTAGACTGGTCTGATTTGTTCACATTGGTATTGGCTGATTCCTCTTCCACAATTTCTTCATCTGAATCACCTCGCACCATTTCATGACCTGAAGATTTATCACTACTTTCATCACTACTTGACTCCTCATCCTGGTCTGGATTATACTCTGATTCATCTCCGTCCTCTTCGCAAGACATGTCATGTGTCCACGACTTCCTCAAAGCAACAGCTTTTTGGGATAACTAAAATAGTAATCACATATTAAAACCCACTATTATGTTAATATACATGTACAATGTATAAATTCAAGTGTACCATGTACATGTAAGAAGGTTAGCTATTATGAAAACCACTGGGGAACTACCGGTACGCCTGAAATAATATTAATACATACATGTACATTGTGTATATTAAGTTTCAGTTCGCAAAAAGGAAAGGCAAAGAAG